TGACCCGCAGATTGCGAGTTGAGCACTGTAACAACCTGGCCATGCCGAGCCTACTTTATATGAAAAATGCACTAAAGATAAAATGGGGGAAAAAACAAGTAGATTGCGAGTCGAGTGCCTTAACAACCTGGCCATGCCGGGCCAAGTGTTTCAGAGACAGGTTAAAGATACGTTGATTTTAATTTTAATATGCTAGTAAAGTTGTGTCGTAAATAATTTGTTGTTGTTTTTATCTCCGAACACTTTTAGCCCTAAGTCAAACATCTATATAGAAATATAGATCAAATGAATACATTATATTGAGTAATAACATCTAAATTGTTGAAGGTAATAATAAATACTTCGAATTTAGAAAACCACCCCTGTTGGTTCAGCAGTAAACCAGAGGGCTAATAACGCTAAAGCTGGAATTTCAATAAGCGCGGTGGGCAGAACACAGCTAGCTTATTGTGTAGCTTTGCGCCTAACAACAAACAAAATAAATCGTGTTAAAAATCATTTACGTGTTTTTTTTTACGTGTGTGTGTAAGTAAAATTAGTTTAAAAGGTTACTGAGATAAAAAAGCCTTTAGTACAAAACAAAATATATGCTTGCACACACAGAATACAAAATGATAAAAATATAACTTTATGTATTATAAGGAGATTATATCTTAAAATTACTGAAGCAACAGTGTTGTAAAATGTAAAAGCCAAGACATTTTAAAATGTAGTTCCAAGTATGGCCACGCGGTAGCGTTTGTTAAAGTTTTCATGATTACACTGGGAATTTTAGCGCTCCACCCTTTCAATTAATTAATCGGTGTCTTTCCAGTTTGTATTCATAGTATGACAAAACAGTTATCCTATAGAGGTTTTTCTGAGAGTAAGAATAAATATTTCTGCGAAAAGAATAAAGAAAATCAGGTATGTATTAAATCTAAAACTTAAGAGCCTCGTATAAAATTAATAATAATTTTAAGCTGCAGTTGTCAGGAAACTATTTGCATCTAGCCAGAAGAAATATTTCATAAAATAATTTTTAAATAACTTTTTTTTTTTTTAACGAGTCTGATTATCTTATTTCAGAAAACAATAGTAGTATTTTAATAACTTATAGTTTGTTAACTTCTTTTGTATATGCAGGGTAATAAGCGCTGTATGGTAAAATTTCTTTAGCTGAATCATTAAAAAATTCACCTTTAATAAGGTTATAGTATCATGAATAGGTAAACCTGAAAACGCTAAATAAAACCCCCAGAAAGTGAAACGGAAGACAATTAACTTCAACTCTAGCCTTTTCATTATAATAGGACTTTTAATTTTCCGTTTTAACCAATAAACATTGATAAAAGATCAGTATATAAGGGAATCATCCTCTTTCCTGACATCTATATAGTATTGATTCGTTCTGAACATTTTAAACGGACCCCAGCTACTGGAGTGTAAAAAGGTTAACCTAATGAACATGGAAGTAAGTCTTATGAAAATTAATGTAGACCCCGTGTAAAGAAGAATTTTTAGAAATAAGCCGAGAAAAATCCACACGGTATATAAAAACCGAGGGCCCGTTTAAAAAAAAAAAAGTTTCTGGCTATCTACATAAAATTTGAATTTAACTAATCACCGAAAAACATAAGTCCTAATTATAAATCTTCAGATTGACATCAATAAACAAAACTGGAGAAAGAAAAAGTCACGGCAAACCTCTGTTGTTCCTCTTATCAATCTTTTCTTTATGTTTGTTGCTCACAGGATTATTTATTCAAGTTTTACGTTAATTAGTTTCATGAACGGAGAGCGATTTCGGTGAAATGCGACCGGTCATGGACTAGTGGTTAGTTTGCTTGAACTGTGAACTCGAGGGTTCTGAGTTCGCGGTTCGTCGCGGTTAAATCGCGCGCCGTACAGGACTGTACTTGGAGCCGTGGGTACGTTGTAAAGATGGCTATCAAATCCCACTAATCGGTCAGAAAAGAGTGCCCCTAGAGTCACGGATTCGAATCTTCGTCCTATTAAACATGCTCGCCCTTTCAGCTGTGGGGGCATTATAATGTGCGGTCAATTCCACTATTCTTTGGTAAAAAAAAGTAGCCCAAGAGTTGGCGGTGGGTGTCATTGACTAGCTCCCTTTTCTCTAATCTATACGTTCAGAATTAGGGACGGCTATGCGCAAAGAGCCCTTGTGTAGCTTTGCGCAAGAATTATGAAATGAACAAACAGTACGAACTGTGTCAGACCTAGATATCATACGTAGTATATATCATGTTTCAATGATAAGTATAGAGAAAGTCTTGTCCATCATATACACGCAGCTAGTCGTGTTCCGGGATTGTTGTTGGGTTATGAGGTTCTTAGTCATGTAACTGCAGCATAACTGGTAAAAATTATACGTTATAGTCAGAACGAGGTCACATGCCGACTATTTCACTGAACTGACTGTTATGCACGTTGAAGAACTAACTGTTCTATGGATTTATCATCAAAATCTCCTTAATAGCCTGACCTAATCACTTACATCTGACGTCACTCACTTTCACAACAATATTATAACAATCTGATTGCCACAATATTTCAAAATATAGAGCCAATAAAATGTTACATTTAGAAAGGGCGTTTTTATTTTTCTCTACATTTTAACTTTTGTCACAAAATCGAAAGGCCCACTGAACTAACTTATAAATTTTACTGTTCTGACAAATTTTGAGAAATATTAAATCACAAGTTTGGAGAGAAACGATTGTTTAAGCGCAAAACTACACAATTAACTGTATATATGCGCTGTGTCCACATTAAGAACCTAAACACAAATTTTAACATTATTAAAAGCTTACCGCTGAGCCACCAGGGGGCGAAGAGGTTTAGTTTATTTTGAATTTCGCGCAAAGCTATACCAGAGCTATCTGCGCTAGCCGTCCCTAATTTATCAGTGAAAGACTAGAGGGAAAGTAGCTAGTAATCACCACCCACCGCCAACTCTTGGGCTACTTTTTTTTTACCAAAGAATAGTGGAATTGACCGTACATTATAATG